AACACCTTGAAGCGCACCCGGAAGACCACCGGGAGCCAGTGCAGCTCGCGCAGGAGAGGTGTCACATGGGAGCGCCTCGTCGCCCCCATAATCCCCTGCGTGGCCGCGTTCTGGACCAGCTGGAGCCTCCGGGTGCACCCCAGGGGGAGCCCCATGTAGAGAGCATTGCAGTAGTCCAGGCGGGAAGTGACTAGTGCCTGAGTGACTGTGCGTAGAGAGTCCCGATCTAGAAAGGGGCGCAACTGGCATATCAGGCGAACCTGATAAAAAGCCCCCCTGGCCACGGCCGTCAAATGGTCTTCTAGAGACAGCCGTGCATCCAGGAGGACGCCCAAGTTGCGAGCCCTCTCCGTGGGGGCGAGTGATTCACCCCCAATAGCCAGCGATGGTGTCAGCTGGCTATATCGGGACGCTGGAAGCCACAGCCACTCGGTCTTGGAGGGGTTGAGTCGGAGCCTGTTTCTCCCCATCCAGGCCCGCACGGCCTCCAGGCACTGGGACATCACTTCAAGGGCATCGTTGGGGTGGCCTGGGGTGGAGATGTACAGCTGGGTGTCATCAGCGTACTGATGGAACTCCACCCCGAAGCCACGGATGATCTCACCCAGCGGCTTTACATAAATGTTGAACAGAAGGGGCGAGAGGACCGACCCTTGTGGCACCCCACAAGCAAGGTGCCTCGGGGTCGACTGCTGCCCCCCCGTCAACACAGATTGCGACCGGTCAGAGAGGTAGGAGGAGAACCACCGCAGAACGGTGCCCCCCACCCCCAACCCCGCTAACCGGTGCAACATGATACCATGGTCGATGGTATCAAAAGCCGCTGAGAGGTCTAACAGGACCAGGATAGAGGAGCAACCCCTATCCCGAGCCCTCCAGAGATCATCCACCAACGCGACCAATGCCGTTTCCGTGCTGTGCCCAGGCCGGAAGCTGGACTGGAGCGGGTCCAGATAGACAGTTTCATCCAGGTACCGGGGAAGCTGTTGCGCTACCACACTCTCAACAACCTTCGCAACGAAGCGAAGGTTGGAGACTGGACGATAGTTAGCCAAAACAGCCGGATCCAGAGAGGGCTTCTTGAGGAGGGGCCTCACAACCGCTTCTTTCAAAGCGGCCGGCAGGACCCCCTCACTCAAAGAAGCGTTAACAATCTTCTGGAGCCAGCCTTGTGTCACCTCCCGGGAAGCCAGTACCAACCAGGAGGGACACGGGTCCAATAAACATGTGGTCGCGTTCAGCCGTCCCAGGACCCTGTCCATGTCCTCGGGAGCCACAGGATCGAACTCCCCCCAGATAACACTCTCAAGACCTGCCTCAGTCATCCCGTCCGGACATACCCAGTCAGAGGCCAGCCCTTCCCGAATCTGAGCGATTTTGTCATACAGATACTGCACAAAGTCCTCAGCTCGGCCCTGCAAGGGGTCATCCCACGCTTCCAGATGGAGGAGGGAGCGGGTCACCCTAAACAGGGCGGCCGGGCGATTATCTGATGACGCGATAAGAGCGGCAAAATAGCTAGATTTTGCCGCTTTTATTGCCACTAGGTAGGTCTTAATATGAGACCTCACCAGTGTTCGGTCGGATTCGGAGCGGCTGGTCCTCCAACTACTCTCCAGGCGTCTTTTCTGGCGCTTCATCTCCCTAAGCTCCCCGGAGAACCAAGGAGCTAGGTGAGTTCGGTGCCGGGTCAGAGGCCGCAAAGGCACGACACGGTCCAAGGCCCCGGCAGCCGCACTATCCCAGGCGGCCACCAGGTCCTCAGCCGAGTCGTGAGCCAGAGTCTCAGGAAATGGCCCAAGCTCCATCTGGAACCTATCAGGGTCCATCAGGCGCCTGGGGCAGAACCACCTGGTCGGTCCCGCCTCCCTGCGGCGGGGTGCAGCGGTTAGAAAGTCCAGTCGAAGGAGCGAGTGGTCAGACCATGACAAGGGTTCGATGACTATATCCCCTGTATCAAGGCCACTCGACCACTGACCAGAGACAAAAACTAAGTCCAGAGTGTGTCCACCCATGTGAGTGGGGTCATGAATTAACTGAGTAAGGTCCATGGCCGTCATGGAAGCCATGAACTCCCGAGCCACCTCAGACGTTTCGCCGACAGATGGCAGGTTGAAATCCCCCATGACTAGAAGTCTGGGGGTACCAACCGCCACCTCAGCTATGACGTTGAGCAGCTCGAGCAGGGCCGTTGCCACGCGGCAGGGAGCCAGGTACATGATCAACAAGCCCATCTGTACTCCACGACCCCATCTCACAAAAAGGGACTCACATCCGGCTATCTGTGGAACAGTGGTCTCCCTCGGATCAAGACTTTCCTTTATAATAACCGCCACCCCCCCACCCCTGCCCTGAGCTCTCGGCTGATGGAATGCTCGGAAACCTGGTGGGCACATATCCACGAGGGGAACCCCCCCCTCATGGCCCAACCAGGTCTCCATAATACCTGCCAGGTCCGCTCCCCCCTCCTGAATAAGATCGCAAATGAGGGGGGCTTTATTTACCACGGACCTGGCATTGCACGACAGCAGCCGAAGGCTCGGGCCCTGAGAGTCTGAACAGCCTGGGATACGAGAAGGGCTATGGGGACCGGGGCGCGCCACCGCTCGAAGATAGCGAGTGCGTGCCCCCACCACATGATGCGGCCCCCTGCTCCCGCCATATCTGCCCCTCCCACTCAACACATTGATAGAAAAGCCCTCGACAGAATGGACTCTAATGTCCCCCTTACCCCCGGAATCCGCACCCTCCGTGGCCCCACTAACAGCTGGGCCGGACCCCTCCCCCCGTGGGTTAACCCCCAAACCCACACAACCCTCCCACCCCTTAAAATCCCTTAAAAATCTATCAAAAAGTTTCCCTAAAAAACCCCTCAATCCCCTTTTTGCAGCATGCCACCTCTCGGGGTGCCAAAGCCCGTCATGAAGGTAGGCCCTTGATAAAGTGGAGGGCCACACCTGCGAGAGGGGGGAGTCTCGCAGAATAAGAAGTTCTGTTGGTGAATACATCCAATCAATCAGTTAATTAATTAAGCTGGGGGAAGTCCACGGCCTGGGGGTAATCCAGATAGTCCAAGGTCTGGGGAGGGACATTCAATCAATTCCAAGTCAATAAATTCAATAAATCCAATAAATCCCACTGCTCTCTCACAGCAGTGGATGGAGTCTTAAGCCACTTTGAGGCCAGATGTTAACACCAGCTGCCCTCTCACGAAAGCTGGGAAGGGCCAGAAACCGCAGTCAAATGAGGCAACATTCACTTAACAACAGAAATTTTGGGGTCAATTGTGGTCATAAGTCGAGGACCATCTGTACACAGTGAGGCTTCTCTGGGGATCCCCATCTTTTTTTTGTCTCTAATTATGGACTTCCACAAAAGAGATTCTTTTCTGAGGTGAAAATCAAGGAGACCTGACAGACACTGTGTGTGAAAATGTATACAGATAGTCCTTGGTTTACAACCATTTGTTTAATGGCCATTCAAAGTTACAAAGGCACTGAAAAAAAGTGACTTATGCCATTTTCCACACACAAGATCGTTGCAGCAGCCCCATGGTCACATGTTGAAAATTCGGATGCTTGACAACTGGCATGTATTTATGACAGTTGTTGTGCCCCAAGATTATGAGATCCCCTTCTGACAAGCAAAGTCAATGGGGAAGCCAGATTCACTGAACAACTGTTGTTAACTTATCCATTGCAGTGATTCACTTAACAAGTGCAGCAAGAAAGTTCGTAAAGGGGGGCAAAATTCACTTAACAACTAACTTGCTTAGCCATGGAAATTTTGGGCTCCATTGTAGTGGTAAGACAAGAACTACTTTTCACTTAAGATAAAGTGACTAATAAGGAAATAGGGAGTACTACTAACTCCTCTGAAAAAGAACAGGAAAAGGGGGATGGGATGCCATGTTAACTCCGTGTCCTTCAGTGTAAAGTTTTATCATGGTGGGGTACGCAACTATATGCATGCACTTGTGTCATTCTGGCTGGGGAATTTTGGGAGTCCACACATTGTAAACTCTCTGAGGTTGAGAAACACTGCTATATTTATTGCTAAATCTGCTATCTTTAGACTTGGCTGCTAGCTTCATTCTCTGCCAGGTGGATTGCAAGGAGCAATGAAAGCAATGTGCCACAAACCGAACAGTAGCAAGATGCCACATGACGTATATGAATGTGCCTTTCGCTTCTTTTAAACCAGTGTTTTTTCAAACTTAACAACTTTTAAGATGTGTGGACTTCACTTCCCAGAATTCCTCTGCCAGGGGAGTTAAAGTCCACACACCTTAAAAGTTGTTAATTTTGCAAAACACTGATTTAAACATTTTGATGCAAGGGTATGAAAAGATAATGTTGATTATATGAAATCGGCCTTTCTCAGATAGCTCTTCAGTTTGCTGTTAAGTGGACTCCATTTTTATTATACCTGTTTCAGGCCTAAATTAGTGTCTTACATGTTGCTATGGGATTTTTTAAATGCTTGTTTACAAAGTCTGTGCTTGATCTACAGATTGAATCCATCAGCTTGATAGCCTTGTGACATTTTTACATGGGTGAACATTTCCTGTTAAAATGTAAATACTGGTGGGGTGGGCAAGGAGCTTTAAGACAAAACAATTCTTCAGGTCCATTTTCAACAGCTCACTCTGATAATTTAAAAAACTGCATTGAAACAAATGTCCTCTGTTTATATGCTGACAACAGGGGTGAGGTGGGGAAGGAAGCACCACTATTTGGAAAAAAAAACAACCCATGTGCTTTAGTGATATTTCTGAAATGAAGTAAATAATATAGAATTCCTTCCTGTCTGTTGTGGGATTATGAAATGGAGCCATACTTTATGAATTGGAAGGCTAGCAAATGAAGGCTTTACTTAAATCTTTTGTATACAGAACAGAGAGCATTTGCACACTAAGCTTTCATTAACTCATTTTGCTTTCTGCGTGTTCCTTATTTGCCCTTACAAATATTTTCTTTCTCTCTTTTTCTTTTTTTTAGAAAAAGGGCCAGGTTGTCATTCTGTTCAGAAGTCTGCAGGGGTCAAAAACGGGTATCTCTGTGAACAAACTTCTTCCAAGAGGCCAAGGGGGAAAATTAATAATCAATTTGTTATTGTACAGCACTTGTGATCTCATGACCTCTTTTTTCGCTGATAGGGTTTATCTGTATAGTGAATAATGCCATAGAAGAAAAGCAGCAAATGCATTTCTAGGCTGCATGAACAGAAATACAGTGTCAAGTTGACCTTGCCCTGATCAAACTGGATTTAGACTATTGTCCCTAATGCTGGGCACCTCATTTTAAGAAAGCCACTGACAAACGAGCATGTCAAGAGGAGAGAGACCTAGATAATAGAAGGTCTGAAGAATGATTGGATGATTGCAACAATTGAGTGGGTTTGGCCTGGGAAAAGAAGACTGCAGAGAGGATAACTGAGTTGGAAGGGACCTTGGAGGTCTTCTAGTCCAACCCCCTGCTCAAGCAGGAGACCCTATGCCATTTCAGACAAATGGCGGTCCAGTCTTTTCTTAAAAGCCTCCATACAAAAAGCTGCCACACACTACTGGCTCACTTTTAAATGATTGTCCACTAGGACTCCAGGATCCCTCGAACAGTTACCGCTATTGAGCCAGGTTTCACCTAATGTGTAGCTGTATATTTGATTTTTCTTGCCTAAGTGTAAGACTTTACTTTTCTCTACATCAAATTTCGTTTTGTTAGATAGGGACCAGCATTCAAGTCTTTTGAGATCCATCTGGATCTTGAGCAGGAATGGGACAGTTTTCCACATCCAACTCGCTGAGGACAACTTGCCACATCCAACTCACCATGGCCAACTTGCCGCAGCCAAGTTACCACGGCCAATTCGCCGTGGGACAACTCACCATGGGACAATTTAACAATTCTATTTTATTAGTTAAAATAAATAAAAAGTTATTTTAATTTTTGCCATTCACATTTCATTTGTCCCTCCTTTTGCATCATTTTTTAAATGATTCTATTCCATTATTTCTTTGATATTAATGCAGGGGTGAAATGCTCCCGGTTCAGACTGGCACGGGCGAGTAGGTAGCGATGGCGGCGGACAGTTCGGAGAACCGGTAGCAAAAATCCCTGCCCCCGCCCCCCATGCCCAGCTGAGCTCCGCGATCATCAGATCGCACATTTTCCTTTTAAATGGCTCTGACCAGCCAAGCTCTGACATCCCAGCTGAGTTGCCTGCTAATCAGGCAACTCAGCTTGGATCGCCAGAGCCATGTAAAAAAAAAAAAAGTTTCTTTTTTTCTCCCCCACCCCCTCTCCCAGCCTCCAGTTTGCTTACCTTAGCTGCTGATCACATGACGATCACAATCCATGCATCAGCAAGCAATTGAATCTCCCTGCCTGCAATCAAGCTCATCGGTGAGCAGCTCTTTCTGCCTGCCTGCCTTCCTGCCTAGACTTGTGGACTTCAACTCCCAGCAAAGCTGGCTGAGGAATTCTGGGAGCTGAAGTCCACAAGTCTTAAAGTTGCCAAGGTTGGAGACCCCTGTTCTATTGGGTAAGTTTTTTTCTCCTTTGGGAGCTTTAAAAAAATAGTTAATTGGGGTTTTTTTAATTGTTCTTTTTTTAGACCTAGCCATTTAAAGTTTAGGAAGTTTTAAATTTAGCTGCTTTTATATAAAAATAAAAATAAATAAAAATAAAATAATATTTGTGCAGCTTTCTGAGATTTAGTGTGTTTCTGTAGTGTTTCACTCTAACTACACAAACATACAAAATCTCACAAAGCTGTATGTGGAATTTTTTGTGTGTAAAGTGTGAAAGTTGGTTTTTTGGGCTTTTTGTGGCTATGTGAGGTTCCTGCTTGTTGCAGGGGCCATTTTGGGTCTAGCACAGCTGCTTTTACATTGTGGGTGAGCCAGTTGTGTTGTGTTGTGTTTTGTAGGTTAAAAAAGGGCAAAGAAGTGACATTGACTTGGCCACGCCCACCCAGTCACTTTACCACTAAGCCCCACCCACTAATTAAGCCATGCCCACAGAACTGGTAGCAAAAAAATTTAGATTTCACCCCTGTATTAATGTAACTCTTGTTCCACATTGAGCTGGCTGTGGTGAGTTGGCCATGACAGATTGGCCGTGGTGAATTATCATAGACCCATCTTAAGCCTATTTTCTAAACTCATCAAACAATTAAAACTCAGACCAGTTTTGAATAGTTTTTATCCCAGAGTTATAATTGCACTCAACAATGAACTAAAGGGCCACCATCAGTGAGCTGTTGGACAGCATTACTTGGTCTGTTGTGTGGATGTTTGGGTGGTTTAGGGGTAGGGAATTGTGGTGGGTGGGAGTGTGTTTGGGGATTGTTATGTGTGCTGGACCTGGTCTTTGAGTGTTAAGTGAATTTCGTTGTATGGGTATACTGTGTATACGTGTACAATGACAATAAATAAAGTTATTATTATTATTATAAAGTGTTCTGGGAAAAGAAGACTGCAGAGGGACTTGATAGCTGTCTTCAACTTTCTGAAAATGGGGTAATACTGTTCAGAAGACAAAAGAAGAAACAATATTTTTACATTTTAAATAGATTTTTGTTGGACATCAACCCATAACAAAGGAGCAGACTGCCTCAGAAAATGTGGACTCACTGTTGTTTACAGAGAGGCTGAATTACCACTTTCTGGGATGCTTCACTAGTGGATTTCTGCAGTTGGCAAGGAGGATAGACTACAGCTGATGGTTTCTAAGATGTGTACAATATAAAATATTCTCAGATAATCATCTCTAGCTTGATGACCTCCAATTATGTTGTACTGTGTCTCCCATCCCAGTAACCTGATTGTTCCAAAGCTACATGAGAAAGACTCCTTTGAATGAATGAGTGAGTGAGTGAGTGAGTGAATGAATGAATGAATGAATGAATGAATGAATGAATGAATGAATGGTTAAATGCTCTCACTGTATTCAGAATGCCACTTTAAAGAAAACATGGAGCTGAGATTCTTGCCACCATAGCTTAAGTCTCTTTGGAGAGGAAGAATACATTGGGGGCACAAGGAGAAAAGATGAATAGACTTAATTAAGAATTATCATGATAACATTGGATCATTCAACTATAGGCCTGAAATTGATCTGAGTTAGTGTCCCCGCTCTAGAGTAACTTATTTCAAGATCTGGTGGTGAAAAAGAAGAAGAAAAGATGTCTGTCTTCTTTTTTTAGAGAAAACCCTTTTTTTCCATACAGAAAAGACTTCCAGCCATTTCATACCAGGATCAGCACGTATCTAGCTACAAGAGCTAAGATTCAGTTCCTGTAGTTCCTAGGGTTAATAAATGCACTAATTGATGGCAGTTATACAAAGGAATGTTTAAGCTTCATTCTTTTATATTACCCCGCAAGCATTTCTGTATGATTTCACATTTCCCTTATGTTGATTAAACCGCCCTGCACATCATGAAATTGCTCTCCTGCAAAGATGGGAAAACAAACAAACATGAAAGCTTACTTGGAAAGCTATTCTTGATGTGTTGCTTGAAATTCCACTGAATCTTCATAACATAAAAAAACTGGCTGTATCTGCTGTCCCATTTGGAAAAGCATTAGGGAATATTTTGTGAGCAGGACATTTAGTACCAGGATGCTATAATGGTTCAGGTGTTGTTACAGGTAGTCCTCGACTTACAACAGTTCGTTCAGTGACAGTTCGAAGTTAAAACGGCATTTTAAAAAATGACTTATGACCAGTGGTGAAATCTAAAATTTGTTACTACCGGTTTTGTGGGCGTGGCTTGGTGGTGGTGGTGGGGTTAATGTGACTAGGTGGGCGTGGTCATTTTTTTTTTACTTTTAAAACCATTTTTTCTATAACCTCTTCAGTGAAGAGGTTGTAAAAAAATGCCTTCAAAAGGCTCTGATGATCCAAGCTGAGTTGCCTGATCAGCAGAGGCTTTTTTTCTTTTAAATGCCTCTGCCGATCAGGCAACTCAGCTTGGATGGTCAGAGGCTTTTAAAAGAAAAAAAGCCTCTGCCAATCAGGCAACTCCAGAGAAATGGCTATCCAATATCTTCTTAAAAGCTTCCAGTGTTGGAGCATTCACAACTTTTGGAGGCAAGTTGTTCCGCTGGTTAATTGTTCTGTCTCCTTAGTTCTAGGTTGCTCCTCTACTTGTCCTGACTCAGGCACTTGGGAGAATAAGTTGACCCCCTCTTCTTTGTGGCAGCCCCTGAGATATTGGAACATTGCTGTCATGTCTCTCCTAGTCCTTCTTTTCATTAAACTAGACATACCCAATTCCAGCAACAATTCTTTACATGATTTAGCTCCAGTTCCCTAATTATCTTCATTTCTCTAGAGTCTCAGCATCTGTTTTATCTCGTGGTCACCAAAACTGAATGCAATATTCCAAGTGTGGTCTTCCCAGGGCATTATAAAGTGGTATTAACACTTCACGTGATCTTGATTCAATCCCTCTGTTGTTGTTAGTTGCGAAGTCGTGTCCGACCCATCACAACCCGATGGACCACGTTCCTCCAGGCCTTCCTGTTCTCTACCATCTTCTGGAGTCCATTTAAGATCATGCCGACTGCTTCAGTGACTCCAGCCAGCCATCTCATTCTCTGTCGTCCCCTTCATCTTTTGCTCTCTATCGTTCCCAGCATTAGGCTCTTCTCCAGTGAGTCCTTCCTTCTCATTAGGTGGCCAAAGGATTTGAGTTTCATCTTCAGGATCTGGCCTTCTAAAGAGCCGTCAGGGTTGATCTCCTCTAGGACTGACCAGTTGGATGGCCTTGCAGTCCAAGGGACTGCAGGAGTCTTCTCCAGCACCAGAGCTCAAAGGCCTCCATTCTTTGGCACTCAGCCTTTCTTATGGTCCAACTTTCACAGCCATCCATTGCAACTGGGAAAACCATAGTCTTGACTATACACACTTTTGTTGGCAGGGTGATGTCTCTGCTTTTTAATATGCTTTTTAGTATCCCACTGTTAATGCAGCCTAAAATAAGTTCATCACTTGCATGAGTTCTTCAAATTCATGTAGTCCTGATTTTCCCCAAGTTAATTTGGTTTCATCTTTGGCTTTTGTGCTTGCATCTGTCCTCTCTCTGGTATCCCATGGAACCCCCTTACCTGTGGAA